TTTAAATCAAGTCACGTCGTAGGGATCCATTTTTCAAATTGACGCCGGTCGCGCATTTTCATCCCCGTGTATTTCTCCGAAACACCAAAAACAATGAGCCATTATTACAATTTTATAACAGTTAAAGCCGTTAACACGCTAGGGTTGGTAAAATACCAACCCAAGCGACCCCTACATCGAATTGCCAATTTGCTAATTCGGTTACGAGCACAAAATTTACGGTTGACGGCAAACTGTTAAATAACGCTGGTATAGTTTTTCCGAAATGTTTTACGCCTGCAGGTTTTATACCAATATAAAGTGGTCAACATCGACCGAATTACAATATCAGCCACGCCCGAATAACCTGCATTGTTAAACTGTAGGTAAACAACACCGTCGTTATAATTCATTATTAAAAAGTTTAAGCGTTTTATGTATTCATCAATCAGAGACTTTTAGGATTTAATTTTTATAAATTTTCCCCGAAACAACGGCCTCTCCAACAGTAACACCATCGTGTGAGGAATAACTGCGTGCATAAACAACTTACTGTCGGCCCGATCTGAATTTCCAGCCCATATCTGTTTATTTATGACCCCCGCTTTGATTTGCTGTTGCTGTATTTGCGCTGGACGCTGCTGCGGCGCTGCTGACGCCGCCGTTGCAGATACTGAAAATAAATTCCTCGCTGAGTCCTTTTCTACTAACTACACTTTCTAGTTGAGTACATTGATATATTACCGACAGTTATAGTTTCAACTAAAAACCATTACACATTTTTAAGTGTTATTTTATTCATTGTCAGTGAGGAATTAATAATTTAACAAATGATACATCAGCTAAAATACTCAGAGGTAAATATTAACACAGATCTTTTTGCTGCATAACTCCAATAAACACGCTTCCTTAGCTATTGGTCATTCCGAATCATACGACAATGTTAAAACAATTCTTGAAGCTATTAACTATAAACAGCACAAATGGAATGTATATGGAGATTTGAAAATTATTGGCATGCAAAAAATTGGCCTATTCGTACTTGCCTAGAAGCAGGAGATCCAAACATTCCCAAAAATCCATTGATTAATGCAAAAAAGATTTTACTACACCCACTTAATATCAAAGTAGTAATAACGAAGCAGTTCGTAAAGGCGCCTAATAAAAATTGTACTTGTTTTAAGTAGGTACCTTGTAGGTAAATAACCTAACTTGAGTGATGCCAAAATAAAAGAAGGGATTGATTTTGAAAATGTGATGATTTCGGATTAAAGCGATGCCTGGACTATCTTCAAAGAAGTTGTCAATGGTTTCTTAGGCAACAATAAAGCTGCTAATCTTAAGGTGCTAATCGCTATGATGCTTAATAACTTCGAAAAATGAAGTTGTAACATGAGCGTGAAGTTATACTGTTTGCACTTTCATTTACATTGGTTTTCTGACAAATTAGGTGATGTTAGCAAAGAACAAGGAGAGCGTTTTCATCAGGATATAAAAAAAATGAAAAGACGGTATCAAAGAACATGGTCCACATCTATGCTAGCTGACGTGATGAACCACACGCTCAACACAAGGGGCGATCTGGCACAACATCTATGGAATAGAAGCAAAAGAATTTCCATAAAAGTTGAATACAATACAAAATTCGGACTTGCGTGTCCTATTTGACAGTATTGATCCATATGCTGTGTTCCAAATTATTACGTCATTTTAAAATGACAATAATTAATAATGGAAATAGTGTGATGAAATAGATAGAATACAGCAAAACAATATTGTGTGTCTCGCACATAACTTCAAGAGTAACCATTTTTCTTGTACATAAACTAAAATGTCTCAAAATCCTAACGTAATGGTCCAATTCTGAACTCGTATTTTGATTCCACGCAAAAAATTACTTCGGAATGGATCGTCAGCCATCCAACAACAATTTGCTCCTTTTTTACCTTTTTGTGTGTAGTTAACCAAAGAAATAAAATAAAAACAGAAATAACTTATTTCGGGCAATGTATGAAATAGGTATATGATAAAAGAATATAATGAATGCTAACAGAAATAAATAATTAAGCAACTTTGTTTGCACGAGTGTCTATAAAGTTACAATTAATCAGATATTCAACTTTATCAAACATTAGCAGTTTATTTTATATTTAATCTGATTTTATGATTTAATATCATTAATCACTTTGCATAAAATTTAATTAATAACTTTTACAATAATTTGAATACTGTTAATAACCGTTTGGCATTATTTACATTGTATGTTGATTATACGCTTAATTACAAATATATTCCCAATTACCTAATATTTCAAATCAACACAATTTGATTTAAACAATACTACTATTTTAAGTAAATATAGTAATGAGCAATGTGTGGTCAACTGTATTTCACCGCTTTTGGATTTAGTAAGCTTTAGATTGTGTCGGGGGTCGCTAAAATACAATAACCTCTGAAAAATCGTCGATTCTATGTTTGCGAACACGTTCCTCTTCGCTCACAAGTGGGTTACGATAACTATGTGGGATATTTATTATTAGCCATAAGAGCGAATAGCTGCCTAGTATTGTCTCCCCAAACAAACCAGCAACGGTTTAACTGTGAATTGTAGTTTACCCTTTACAAACAGTTCGAACAATAACTATGTACGATAAATTAAACTAGAATGTTTGACAAATACAATTCTCTTTCTATTTCGATTTCACGTTCGAAAATAGAAACTTTATATTTTGTTATAAAAATAATCTGTCATTGGAATTAACAATGTTTATGTTTAAAAACAACAAAAAAACATTTCCCATTAGAATTCCGCAACGCACATACAATCAAGAGGAATTAGAATCGTAACCGTTTACACTTATATCTAGAAGATCTCAATCAACAGAAATCTATGAAGATTGTGCTAAATTGTTAGCTGAAAAGTGGGGAGGTGTTGCCATGTGGTGGGAAAAGGACACCATATTACGTTATATGGCTCAGTTTATTGAGTGATGTACGAGACCACGCTCTAACTTCTGGCGCCGTTAATTACACAGGGTGAAAAATAACAATAAGATCACTAGGGTGTTCTAGAGTAGGGGCCGGGTTATTGGAACCCTCGGAGAGAAGTGTGCAAGGGGTGAAAATAGAAAGGGTAAGTCTAGGGGAGATGGCGTAAAATTAACAGGACCAGCTGGAAGATATTGCACAATTATTGAGTAGTATTAGTATTAGTTCACATGAGTAAGAATGGAAGATATGGTGATAAAATTGCTGTTCAGAATTGTTCAGTAAAAGAGCGTGCTAGGTATAAAGAGGTAGAAACGATGACCGTAACAAGGTGAGAAATGGAAGAATGGGAGAATGGTAGTTGTCAAGTGGTGGAGCTGTGATAAAAGAAAACTGAAAAAAGAGGGAATGTTTGAAGACAAATGTAGTGGAAATATTAACGGGCGACGAAGGGGTGTTAAAAGTGGAAATCATTACAAATGCAGGAAACAATAATATTGTAGTCGAAGAGGAGTCCATAAGACATGTAAAGGTGATTAAGCAGGAGACGATTGGAAAAGGATGACTAATCACAAAAGATCCAAAATGTGTAAAATATGAATTTTCTTTTAGACGTGGACTTGGATTAGGCTTGGACCCCCTTTAGGGCGGCCCGACAGTCCGGAAAAATGTTTATCGATGCCTTTTTCTGTTGCTTTTCAAGGTTCAAAACGGTGAAGAAGTTTACATCAAGAACTTCATCTTGACAAATGGTTGTATCAGATGTTAGGGGCAACTTAATGCAGCTATTTGGTCAACTGATACCCATTGCTATTCCAGATCCAACTGTCTTTATATGACTGGTCGAAATTGTATCGGTATATAATCCCTTTTAATTTCAATCAAATGGTTTAGACATGGGTCCCTGAGAATTCCGAGATATCCTCTGAGGTTACCCTGCATGAACTTCAGTGAAGATCATGTCTTCAGTGATAAGGAACTTAAAGCTGACTCCTTTTGTATATACAGGATCAAGTGGTGTCAGACCGAGTAGTTATATTAAGACATTCTGGCTGCTGGATTTGTGCCAGCGGTTGTTGCGCTGTCTTGTGATTGGTTTTTAGCCACCAAATCAATGAAGCATAGACCATGGGTCTGATTATTGCCACATAGGCGCAGTAAGCCATTCGTGGTATAGATTACTGGGAATACATAGATATGGAACTTGGGGGAAAGAATATTCCATAGATACTTAAAGAGAGAGAAGTTTAAGACACAAGGGTTAGTTAGATATTCAGCTGTGGTATCGCCTTAGGTGTGTTTTAGGAGCACGATGTCTTTTGGTGAGAGAAGTATTTAAGTTGATGAAAATCGGAGAGAAATTATAAAGTGAAGTGTTGGAAATGAAGAGTGAAGTGACGTCGTAATTCCTTCAGACAACATTTCAGTGTATAGCCAAGTCTAACAAGTCCCTTTAGACATAATCAAAAATATGCTATGAATAAGTTAACGTAATCTTCTTCGTTAGGATTTTTTTGTTATAATATAGGAGTAGAATCTTTAAAATTGCGTACTAGAAAATAAATAAATCCTCTATAGCACTGATGATGGGTTCACAATGAAATAAATACTGATTTAACCCTAATTAGTAGTTCATTAGAACATTTTGTGTAGTCATAATTGCATTTTGTACAATTTGCATTGATTTATCTCATTGTATCATATAAATCGTATACGGGAGGAATTAACAAGCTAAACAACATAAATTTTAAACAAGCACAACCGATTATTTTCTTTTCTCTTTACATTTATAATAATAGTAGAGTCGAAAATGTAAGGCAATTACAATAAAGTTTTAGTGAGATTATTAAAAATGCCGAGAAATTTTTGAGTATTCAAAGAAATTTATAGGAAAGCCATTAAAGTAGAAAATTTTCTCAAAATCTCTTGAACCGATCATAAAACCATATTATCTCATAAATTTTTAAAGTAACTTACAGAAAAACCGTACAACCACTTTTACTTTTTACGTTCCATTTTCTCTTTTGTTACAGTGGCTTACGTCAATTTAGGTGCAGCCTTAATAGCAGCAGGAAGATGCCAAGAAGCCGTTTCCGTCCTTCGGCAGGGAGCGAGGTTGGATGGAACGGGTTTGAAAAACCGAAAAGAGCACGAGACGGCGCGCGTCGCGGCGTTACTGCAGTTGGGGGCTCTCTATTCGGATCAGGGGCGGCTGCAGAGGGCCCTCGCCACTTACAGAGAGGCGGCGCATTCCCTTCCGGAACATTACCCCCCGCAAGTAGGTGCTATTTTCTTTTTTAAAAAACGAGTAAAAGAGAGAAACGGTCGACCCCGTGCGAGCGCCATCTAACGTCCGGCGTCGGTGGCTCCGGAGGCGGCGCGAAGGTCCCGGAATATAAATCGTGCTAGAAAACAACGAGACCGACGCAATAATGGTTATTACGTCTGTTGAGATATGAGGAGGTGGGATATTGGATGAGCACTTAGCGAGATTATCGCGAGCGGTGTGGAGCCCCGTGACGTCGACCCATCTGTTAGATGAAACTCGAACCAGATGGGGCTCTAACGCGCGGTTGACACCGTTCGTCGTAAATTACGGCCCGATGGCTTCCGCTTTTTTTTCTATGTGATATTGAAGAGAAAGATCGATCCCGATGAGGAATAAAAAAATATCTCCCATACGGCGTTCGGTACGAAAGTTATCCCGCCGCGACTCATTGTACTCGGTTCCATTGAATTAAACATGTCGGAGATAGTATAGAATCTATTGCAACCATTCAAGCATTCACGAGAACCTCAGGTATGTGTGTGTTCTCCATACGGCTTCCACCATCCATTGTCTGCTGTATTCTCATTAATGTAATAGCATTTCATTTGATAGCACATATCTAACGTCAACAGACCACGTAAACCTAAATATATCTAACACACTCAGAATATCATTTAAACAAGATTAATTAAAATCAAAAATTATTAATTAATTATATAAATAAAATTTCTTGTTTAAACTAAAACTAGAACTAACACTACCACTATTACTAGACCTAGAACTGGAAACTTTCGGATTAAGCCGTGAGTTTTTTGAAAAAATGTTGACGTTTGCCATAGACATGTACCGAAAGCAAAATAAGCAAAATAAGCAAAATGCAGCAATCTGCAGTCGTAGAGTATTTCCATAAAGGAGGATACACCATACAGTTCGACAAAACCAAAGTATTAGCTAGAATCGGATATTATTTCCAAAGAATGGCGAGAGAGGCAGAGATTTATCGCCATGGGAATAACATGAATAGAGGGGACTTGGAAACTTAACCGTACATAAGATGCTAGTTACCTCAACAAAACCCTCCTCGCCCGGATGTGACAAAAACAGCTTAGTTGGCAATTAGATATTAATTAGTTTTTTAAAAAGGTTACAACATGGCATCCGAAACGTTAAACATTTTTTTGAAAAAACGCGCATCTTAACCTGAAAATTTTTAGTGTTAGTATTAGTTTAATTAACACCGGTCGTGAAAGTATAATATTATTGCTTATAAAATTGCTTGATTACTTTCGTTTCATTAATAAAAACTGGATTAAATCCCTTAGTTGTTTGTTACAAAACCTTCTTTCTCGTTTTATGGGGCGTAACACCAACGAAACAGATGGCCGCGCTTTTTCGCAGTTCCGCGAGAGCAATAAAGCACGTTTACGTTGACGTTCAAAATTCCGTTCACTTAGCCGAGTCATTAGAACCACTTTAAGGATGGTGAGAGAGCGTGGGCAAGCCGAAAGCGGAAGTTATAATAGCGAGAACGGAGGTTCATTAAGACGTGAGCAATTAACCGGGCATTTCTTACCTTCCGAGCCTCGTATTCTCATAAACCGTAATTATACTTCTCGGTTTTATTACCGCCCGTAGAAACCTCCCTTATTCGGAGACCCCCCAAAACGCCATACATCAACACTGGTAATATCCATTATTAACGGGCTCCCCCTGGTTGCTTGTTGCTCGCGTCGCGGCACCGGGTAATAATCCGAAATTAAATGATGATGCGCCCGGAGGACCGACGGACGTTCCTCTGCACCCCCCAAACTCCCGGCGTTAGGATTAATCGCCGTGACGTAATTAAAAATTAATTACCAGGATATTAGGTTTGGATTGATTCCGCCGGCAAATCCTGCCGAGCGGCGGTTTAATTTAAAACTTTTTCGTCGCGTTGGTTGCCTGCCGAGCTGGAATGTTTAATTTGCTTTTTTTATCCTCCCTTTTTTTTGCAGAGCGTCTTTAATGTCCTCGGAGAAACACTTGCTCGTTTACAGCAGGACGAAGAAGCTGAACGTTGGTATCAGGCAGCACTTAATGCTCAACCTGATCATATTCCTGCACATATTACTTATGGAAAACTTTTAGCCAAAAATGTAAGTATGAAATAATTTGAAACTATTAGTACAATTAATATGTTAAATTCATATATGCATGTACAATTAATCTCGGAAACCCAGATAACCCAGAAGAAATCCCCCACCAACAAGAACAAGAGCAACAACAACCAGAAACCAGAACAATAGCAACAAGAGGTGAACTGTACTCTGATGGAACATTAGAGAAAGTCGAGCTTGCTCTGCAAACCAAAAAGAACAACAAATCACTTGAATTTGATGGAATAGTATTTAAAGCAGCAGCGGAAAAACTCTTAGAAAATCTTTACACTTAATAGTTAACATATGGAAGGAAGAAAAGATCCTCCAGGACTGGAAAAAGAGCGTTATCATCTCAATTCACAAAAAAGGAGACAAACTGACATGCAAAAACTATCGCGGAATCTCCCTACTATGTACAGCGTATAAACTATTCAAATACCTACATACTTAACAAACGAACACAGATATACACGGAGGATATCATTAATTATCAATGATTATCAAGCAAGATTCAGGCCAGGCAAATCCACTATTGACCAGCTATTTAGCGTCAAAAAGATGGTCAGTCGCACATGGGAATTCGACATTGATGTAAGCCTTTCGGCAAACCTATGACTCCATAAAAGGAGACAGGAAATATGACATTATGAACGAATTCCGAATGCCCATAAAATTAACCAGATTAGTGAAAGGTATAATGACGGATACCATAGCATATGTCAGAATACAGAATCAGATGACCAACCCATTCGAAATAACACAAGGGTTGAAACAAGGTGATGGATTAGCCCCCGTTCTCTTCAATATCGCCTAATATGTCATAAAAAAATGTCAATCAATTCTTCAAACATCTGGCATAGTAAGTTCTTCCAAATAACAGCATATGCTGATGACATTAATATAATGGAACTGGAAGACAATGCTCGAGAAGTGGGTCTATCAATAAATGCAGAGAAAACCAAAGTTTTAACGCAAACACGCTCAGGCAGAACTCTGCAAAATTTAACCATCGGGGATACTAACCTGGACAAAGGATGGTAGCGAGGAGCCGGAAGTCCGAAGAAGGATTACACAGGCAAATTTTTTTTTGCATATTTTGCCCTTCTCTGTATATTTAGATCGCGCGGTGTTTATATAAAAGTATTTTAAGGCCAATATTAACAAATGGGTGCGAGGTCTGGGTCCTCACCAACAAAATGACAACCTATAAGCGTGTTTGAAAGGAAAATCCTAAGAAAACTATTTGGTCCAAAGCAAGAAGACGGAAGTGGCGATCCAGATGCAATCGCGAACTGTACGAAATGTATAAAGACATGCCTAATCCGTTTTCGTCAGAATACAAAAACTACAAAAACTGATTTTTCTGCTGGTTACGTAATCCAAATGGCCAGCGGGATGACCCAGAAAGAGATGGCAGGATAAAGTAGAGGAGGAGGTGAGAAGTACCCTGGATAGAAACTGAGGGAGAAGAAATACAATTATTAATATCATTAAAATTAATTAATCAATGTGTATAATTATCAAAATGATTTTCTGATGTATTCATTAATGTAAAATGATTAAAAATAATGTGTAACAAATTCATATGAAATCGATGTGAAATTATCGTTGATATGTTTAGTTTGAAATTGGTTTGCTAATTTGGTTTTAACTAAAAACCTGTTATTATTATTCAATTAACAAGCCACTCAAACGAATTATTCCGATCCGTTGCTTTAAAACGCGGTCCCCACCAGCCCTAATATATCAATGTGCGACAAATCTGACTGACAACGCTTTCCAAGTAATTAATTATTGTTGGAACGCAGACGGGCATAAATTATCGTCACCGTACTGACATGGACTGTTCATGTTTTCGCAATTAGGTGGACCAAAAATGATGAGCTCAATAAATAGCCGCGCCGCTAATAATAATTATGTTTACGCAATGTGTTTTAATCATTAAAACTCACCTTGCAGGTTTATTGATCCTGAAAATCTTCGTATATAAGCTTACACGCTCGCTTCCTAGCTACTAAAAGTATTATCGCTAAATGAAATTATATCCCCGTGGAAACAATTAAGCTTCCGAGCGGGTAATCCCTTAATGGAATGGATTTTTTTCATCCGGCAGAGAGCATTTCTGGTAGGCGGATGTGTGTCAAGGGGATGATAGATGTCTTTTTGTTTTCAGGTAAGCCGCACTGCTGAAGCGGAGCAATGGTTCAGAAGGGCGCAAAAGCTCGCGCCAGATGACGCCACCGTGTACCACCACTACGGTATGTTTTTTGCAATGTTAACGATGCCTATTTTTTGTGACAATTTCCATGACGAATTCCCGATGGACAAAAAAAAAACTCCGGCGGTCCGTGCGATTGTATCAAAGCAGAAAACTGGACGGCGGCGCAGCAATTAAATTTGAACAATTGGCCGCGCAGCGCATGATGGTACTCTGCAGCAGTCGCGGCCGTTCTTGTTTATTTTCCAGTTGCCGCCTCATTTACTTCTATCCGCTGCATGCACCAAATTAAACATTTTTGTTGCTGTCGCAGCGAATGTGGATGATAAAAAATGTAATAATACAAAAAGCAAACAATTTTTTGTCTTCTTTTCATTTCTTTTTTTTATATTATTTGAATATAGTTACGAGTCTTAGTGTGCTTTATTAAATCCACACAAAAATACGGGTAAAACTAAAATAAACTAAAATAGTTGCAATTAAAAACAAAATCATGAATTTAATGTAAATCGAATATTATTATTGGGTCGAGTATTATTTTTATACTAGCGTGTCATGGGGTGAGTCCCAATGGAAAAGAGGACTTGGGGATAGCGGAAAACGGCCGAGAAGGGTAACGCGGGCAATGTTATCGCGCCGGGGATGGCGGCATGTTGCTGACGGAGACGGCTGAATTCCATTTGCATCCAAAATTCGACATATTCCCTCCTCGCATTGTTCGGCATTATTGCGTCCTGTATTTGTATAGGTAAATTTCCCAAGCCGATGAGAAGGCACGCCCCTGCGAGCGAACAATGGGCTCACGCGATCGAACGTATTGTTCGCGATTGGAATTTTCTTCAGAAGAAGCGAAGAGGCGGTTCGAAAATGGTATGCAGCAATGTTGTAATGGCACTTTCCAAGTACTCGAATTCGTCCTTATTTGTTAAAGGTGGAAGGAAGCACTTGGCGAATTTTGTTAGGTGCAATTATTAAAAAACTAGGGTAGGGTTTTTGAAACGGTTTGAGAAAAATTGATGATTTTTTTTTGAAACTGTTGCCATTTCCGCGGCGCCAATTAAAAGTTGTCAGACGCGGCGAAAACAACTGCAAATACGCTCGGTGTCGAGAAATAAGCTGAACTCGCTCATTAAAACTATGAACAAAGCGGTCTTGGTTCATTAAATCCTTCTCCGACAGAATTTCAACCTAGTTATCCAGTTTGGTAACAGGATACACTGTCGCGTTATACGTTTACTGCACCTCGTCAAGATTCTGTTTCTCACATGAAGTTCCCCCAACTTTTACACCTTCGTAAAATATCCAATTAAGCGATATATTTACCAGCCATTATGCTGAATAAAGAGAAACCCTGAAAACTACTATTTTCGAACGTAATAACGCATTTAAATTTATCAACATTTCATCATCATTTCGATATAAATCATGTACAATCCGTTTACTCTTGCGGTTGATGAACTTGGACGCGTCAACCAAGTTTTGTTGACGCAGCGTATATGGTGCATAATGAAATTTTTGTTTACTATTCCAAGCGAGGGGGAATTTAACGTCAAGGGAATTAAAACCAGTGTTTACCAACTCCTCGTTTAACCCCGTCGAGTTTCCGAAGACATGTGATCTCAATTATTCCAGCATCGTATAAACCCATAGAATTCATCGGTAAATAGATAGGAGAGGTAAATAGATGAGATAGAACCCCGGTGTTGTTGTAGTTTAGGCGGTGACAATAGCTTTGTTCATTGATTTAGTAAAAAAAAAAACAACAAGGAAAAAAAGATAAAGGGGATGTTGAGGAAAATCCCATTTCGAAATTGATACGTTGACCTACAAGTCAACGTGGGAGAGGAGAAACCTCAGAGGGGACATATTAAAAATATATTAACCCTCACGAATGAGGATAAGGGAGCCTTTCGTCCACCCTCCTTCGTCCAGAGCAATACATTTTAATACAACCCTCCCCGTATCATTTCCCATAGGAAGTCTATTTCACAGATATTTCCAAATAAAATTCCTTTCCTCCAGCTAAATAACGTTAATCGATTTTCAATAAATTCCTTCTTCACAACTTTTCTAATTAATCTTATAATAAACCCCGAAAATATTCCCAAAAATGCAAAATTAAAGTTAAAGTCAAAAAGAAAAGCCGTGGTCAGTCCAACAGTTAAAGATCCGAGACGAATTGTTGAGAAATTCGAGCAGACATCTCGGACAAATTGCTTTCTGAAACGTTATAACTGTTTTCTCTTTCGATATTGGGTAGGGGAATGAAGACGTGGTGGTTTAGGGAGCGTAAGGGGCGGAAGTCGACCCACAAACGCAATAATCGTCCGGACCCAGCCCCTGGATGAGAACAATAAAGGTCGATTTTTGCCCCGGGAACTTGACACAAAGGGCTGTAAAAAGTGCTCATCCCACGGAAAACGACGAAAGTTGCTATGATTTTCGGGACAATATGCGTCGTAAACTAACTCGTCAAAGGTTGTTGCAAGTTTGATGAGCAATCATCAAAAAAGAAAATCGGAAAAAGAATAGATGGTATTTTCCTTCCACTACTATATAATTTATACCCAAAAAATAACACCCTTTTCGTATAATCACAGAACCCGGTTGACACAAAATCTATTTTTCTTTCGACATAAACAAAGTGAATAACCAATTTTCCTTTGAAATTTGTGTTAAAGTGTTTGTTATTGTTGTCGGGATACATTTTTATTTTATAGTTTTCAATTGTGAAAACTCAGTCGTGCGATATTTAAACCTTCGGATTTATTTCTGTCGCAGGGGAGTTTCTAGCTTCGAGAGGACGGTACAAAGAGGCGGCAGGACTTTACGAAAAGGCCGCAGAGCTGCGTCCGAACGACTATGAACTAGCCGTTGCAGCCGCAACAGCTATGCGACAAGCTGGAAGACATTTGGACGCTGAAAGGTGGTATAGAAGAGCTGTTTTTCTTAAACCGACCGTAAGTTGAAAAACAAATTTATTTTTGAAATTTATGTTTATAATATTTATTGTTTTTTAGTTGCGGGTGATATTTGATTATTTTCAATAATATAAAATGTATCAATAATAACACAGGATATAAAATATAAACAGATCCTCGTTGTTTAGTTCGGGAAAATATCGATATCACTCGAAACTGGAATGTTTCAATGGAAATTTAAAATATTTATAAACAAAATACATATAAGCGGTTACAAAATATAAACAGTATAAGCGTTCATGGATATTCATGCTTTTGATACCCCTTCGATTTTATATCATACGTTAATATATTATAAAACAGCTTGATTAAATTAGTAGAAAAAGGGCAAACGAGGGCTCGACATTACTTAATGATATTTTTTAATAGCTATTATTCTAATACCCTGTTATTGTAAAGACGCAAACACGCGATCCCGCGTTATATAAATTAAACCGCAATCTCGCATACGACACAAGCTTCGCGTGCTCGTTGAGTAATAATTGCGTCCGTGAACACAATAATTTCGATAATGGCTTTTCAGAAATAAGTCATTTTTCATCACGTTTAATCTGTTTCACATTTTTAATAAACACCTCAACATCAACTTGTTGATGAATATAAAATGTGTGCTTTGTGTTTCTAAATTGTATTTCTCCACCACAAAGTTATTACCCAAAACATTTTCAATTGAATTAAAACTTTTACAACTCAAGACTACTTAGATGTTAGAAAATATTTAAACATCAATGCCTTCAAGGAAGTTTCTCTTTAATAATGAAGGATTCGTTTCATGGTAAAATGTTTAAATGACATAATTTTAGTTGTATGTTTAAAATAAGTTTTATCAATTTGGTTATTATAATTTATGATTTTGTGATTCAGTTGTTATTGGCATTTTCTCCACAAGGTTTCTTCAAACGAATCTTTTAGAATTCTTCGATCTTCGAAACGATTTTGGGTTTTTTTATGTTATATTGGTTTATAACTTGTCTGTGATGGCCCTAATCGTCCCTACTAAAATGGTATCAGGTCTTTTTTTGAAATCCGGCTGGATATCGGATAGCTACCAAAACTATCTAGTTAAAAACCTATTACTTAGTACTCCACCATTTACAGAAATTAGTATCTCTTTTAGGTGTTGGACACTGCAGATAATAATCAAGTTGCAAAATGTCCCTATAGGACATTTTTCATTGAATACAACTTTATTTATATCACTTTTGTCATTAGCAACCTCATTGTAACAATCCCAATACGATATATAAAATCTCTTGTTGCAGTTTCGTCTAGTTTTCTTCTATTCGCTTGTAATTCAACATCACATTCATTACTAACAGAACTGTCGCTGTTATCGCTTTCGATGATTAATTAAAGTATCCTCTTTTTAATGCAACAAGCCGATATGAAAAATCGCTTTTAGTTTTTGAGAAATAAATTTTTGAAATGATCGACAATTTTTTCGAATTTTGCAATTTTCGCTTATTAAGTTTTAAAAATTCGTATAAAATCGATTTCTTGGAATATGCGTATGAAAATTTCCCAAAATGTTAATAAAAGTGCCCTATTTCCAATGAACCAACACGTTTTGAAAAATAACTTTTCGTTTTTGAGAAAACAATATTTCGATGTTGCAATTTTCATCGATAACTTTCAAAATTCGCTATAAAATTAATTTCATGAAGGATCCTTGTGGACATATCATCAATTATTAATTAAAGTTTCCTCTTTTTAGAGTTGCTTCGTTAGTTAAATCAGCATCAAAAAAAACCATTTTGTATCTTGAATCCAAATAAGGTGACATATCTTATCAGCTTTCTTATTAATTTCATTTTTATTCAAATATAGCAATAATGTGGCAATATAGGGTATCACTTCAGAAATGCACCAGAAATTATAACCATAATGGCCGGATAACCGGATATCCGGCTTTTCGTAAAATCACTATCCGATCAATCACTAGTCCCTATACTTAGGTTGATATTGATCTTCAAGGAGTTATAAAATCTTTCTTCGTTCATTCCGGATTGTGAATCTCTAAGGTTGCAAGAAGCAACCTATGTTACTTTGGTTTTTTTTTAATAAAAACAACAATAGTTTACTTATAACTTCGCGTCTCACACACTTCTGTCAAAATATCAGCAATATTTTTATCGGTTAATACATATTTAACTTGATCTTCTTGTATTTTCATGATTCTTAATCATAACCACTGCACTTTGTCCACATACAATACTATTTCACCATCTTTGTTTTCGAAGTCTTTAGCCACTTAAGTACAGAGTTTTTGCACAACACATTGTAGCTGCTACATACTCAGATTCGGCTGTTGATAATGCTACCGTTTGTTGTTTCTTTGATGATCTTGATACCAAATCCATGATACCAAATCGCCATATCACTCACATTAATGAGATATTACTGCCAAATAACAATTTGGTAATTCAGACAACCGTTTAGAAAGGCACTTGGTAAATCAAGTTGATGTACTTTGTATTTATGATGCAAAACAGGTGCATAAACATTATCGACAATATTTTCCTCATAGCTTTTTGCTACTAATCTTGCCTTCTTGACACCACCGTTTTTATTTTAAATAACCATTTTGTTTCAATTAATTTTTTGTCATCAGGTTTTCTTATTATTGAGTATGTATTAGATTGTTCAATGAATTTAGTTCGTTTTCTATAGCTGGCTTCCAGCCGCTATCTTCTATTGCTTCATTGTATGTTTGTGGTTCTTTATCACTTTTTAACAAACGGTATGCTGTGTGTGTTTCATAGTGATCTAAGTGTTTTGGCTTCTTCAATACTCTTCCTGATCTCGTTTGTTGCGTTTTTTCTCCTTATATTTTCATCATCTTTCACTTCTTCATTTGTGTCTAGTTCAATTTCTTGATTATTTTTCTTCTCTTCATCATTTTCTTCATTGTTTATAACATTTTGAATTCTTATTTTTTCATTACTTACCGATACATATTTAATATCATTTTCATCGAATGTGACATCTCTGGATATTATTATTTCATTATTTCTTGGATTCCACAGTCGGTAGCTAGTTCCAGAATATCTTATCAATCTCATTTCCAAAGCTCTTGGTTTCAACAGACATTACATGTGCTGTGGGCCCATAACCTTTTGAAAGGTTATTATTAAAGGGCGAGAAAATCGCCCCGGCAATTTGGAAATTATTTATCATCAAATTTTATGATATTAACTGTGCAGCACACAATATTATTGTGTTGTGTACACGCTTCTGGTTTCAAGCTATTACAATAAGTATTCCTCGAACAATATCTGTCAAAGATCTAAATATGAGAACAAAGATGCAAAGCACACTTCCAATTAATATGTACCTATAATAATCCAGAGTGTATCTTTAAATGCATTAAAAGTTTATTTAACTTTAAAATTAATCGCTTTTCACTAACGATCTTCGAAATCCACTTTTAAACTAATCAATCGACGATACTCTTCCATGCCATAGGAAGAGTATCTTATCAAGAGAACTTGGGGTAATAAACAACCGACCAATCCGAGCCTCGGTTTAGGAATTAATCCGGGCAATCTCGGCAGCAAATAATTCCTGAAGTGTCACGGGCCGGCGAACGCGCGCGCGAACGCCACACCGTCGAAATTTATGTCTACTTTCGAACAGTTTAAAGTTTTACCGCCCCGATCGAGGCACAGATGGAACATTAATTTCTGCGCGGCTCGAACTTCCTCCCCGGTATTGACTGCGCCGACCAAGACAATCAATTAAATCGGAATTAATTTCCACGTTTGACCGGGTATTAATCAAGTTCGAATCCGACCCCTTCTCCTGTTCCTTCTGACCACACCGAAGACCCTTTGCACCCCTAACCGGTTAATGGAGTTTGTTTTGACCGTATTGGGACTCCAAAGATGATGTCTTAGAGTTTATACAGTTTCCAGAAGGGCCAAAAGGACCTGTAATTGATGTTCTCTTAGACATTTTGATTCGATGTTATATTATTAAGCGATATATATACTAAGTTGATTTTATGTTTTATTTTAGGATGTTAGAGGTCATACTAACTTAGGGGCCATTTTGCACATTAATGGGAAGTACAAGGAAGCCGCAGATAGTTACAAGGAAGCCCTGAAGCTCCAGCCAAACGACGTGACAACGTTAACAAATCTGCATAAATTGCACAGCGTGATGACTTGACGCGAGGACAGCAATTGAAGGTTATTTTAAGGACAGGGTTTTAGCAACGTTTCGTTTTTTTACGAAAATCTCCTCCGCCGCCACCCGTTTATTATTACTTTTTTTATTGTTCCCGAGGTTTGTATCAACGAATAACTATTTATGTAAAAAAAATAAATTATTTCGACGTCTCCCACCTTTGTACGTGCATGTTGTGGTATGTGTGCTTTATTCAAACATTATAAGAGGAAAAAAAACGAAAAGAAAGAACAAATTAACAAGCGCCGATTCGCAAAATCCCTGGGACCATAGCGCAAAATCGGCCGGAAATCTAATGACAATATGTAGCGGATTTTAATTGTTTTGTTATTGTAATAACCCTTTGTTATAATTTTTCGTGCGACTCATGATTAAAAAATATTATTATGCGCAGTGATATGGGTTAAATTAGGTTCGGAAAAAACAAACCCAATCAAAAAATTTGTCGCGAATTGAATTTAACCCGTTTTGTAAAACTTGTGAATAATTATTGTAAATAGGAGAGATTATTGTTAATTGATACGAACTATAAGAGAGAAATTGTTGAAATCGAGTTGTATGTATTTAAATATGAAAAGAATTCGAGTGACGATAACCGTTTTTACCCCAACCCCGACATATCCAATTTTCGAGTTCGATGTAAATCGCAAAAAAAAAACATAAAGAAATAAAAGACGAAAGGACATAAAATACGGTTTTATGACATTTAAAAATGTTGGCTTTCAATGGATGATTATATCTCTTTATTAATTAATTATTAATTCTATTATTATTCTAATTAATAAACAAAGAATCATGTGTATCTACATTATACATAACTATATAATGACTATATTGTGTAAAATAAAGCTTAAACTTATTTTGTGTACAATAAGCAGCGTTTCTCTTCATTTCCTGGACGATCCTTCGATTTAAACGGTAAGTTAAATATGAAGTGCTTTTTTCACCAACCTCCCTTCCGGATAATGGTAGAGTGCGCTTCTACCCCCCAGAAAGCTGTTGAATATTCGATCGCGATTAAAAACTCAATTTCGAAAAAGTTAACGCCTCCCAGCTTATATGCTAATTGGGAAACGTCATGAATATGGATAAAATCTTGAAATAGATATCGTGTATCGTTAGGATTCCCTTTTTACTTGATGTTTCTTTAAAATTTTAGTTTGTTTTAACCAAGAAGATACTAATTAATTAAAATGATTAAAAATGTTTTAATGTTTTTTTAATAAAAATAAGTTAGATAATAAAAATCATTTGAATCAAATTGGAGAAAAAGAAGCTTTGATCTAATTACTGTTGATTACTTCTACATATAAATCACAAGTTTCTGCAGCTCTTTGACCCATTGCAGTTAATATCGAATAACATAAAGCTCCCCACAAAAGCTTGCTGAAAAAGGAGACCTGCTTCTATAAACTTTATAACTGTTGGAATAATTCCAGCTCAATTATTTCACCTTTTTCCGCGTGGTATTTATCCTGGAGACCACCTCTAGAACAAATTTCCGAAAAATCAGCATAGTGAGAAAGAGATAATACCAGGAATAATTAGTAGTTAGTATCTTTGTGGGCAATAACGCAAGATTCATCCTATCCGGTGTCTGGCCAGCAATAACAAGAACTCTTGAAAACCTTCCGTATGTAACTGAAAGTAGTACAAATAGCTGTAGCATGCTTTATCCGGAAAAATAATTTGCAAAGTTATTTTATATTAACATTTGAAACTCTACGCAACGTAAAAGAGGAACAAATTTACGTAGAGGCTAATCCAGTGTGGTTATCATGTGGTAGTCAAAATGGCATAAAGGAGCAAATGTTAGAAGTACTAATAGAATACGATTAAGCCGTTAGCAGTAGCTTAGGTGATTAGGAAAAATCAATCGCTTCTGATTTGGCGACAAAATCATCCTGATGTTGAACAGGTTGATTCTACAGATATTCTGTCTTTGGTACCACTTATCAATGTATTGATTCGCCGGTGTTCTTTATGGTGAGTGACCTTATACATCGTGGTGTTGTACATACCTCCTGATAATCCGCAACATGATTTGCTATGTTTATTGGACGTCTTAGAACATAAAGTTTTGAATTATCCTTGGTGATTTTAATTTGCCTTAATATGTAAAGGCACCTGGCATATCTACCAAATGTGCAAAAACGGAGCTATTTCGTAATTTTTGTGATTTTCTGGACCTCGTACTAAACTGTGACAATCTTCTATTGGATTTGGTTCTGACAAATACTGATTATTGGTTTGGTCTGGTTCATGATGACCGTCCTCTCGTTTACGAGGATCAGTAAGGAATGTATTGACAGCAAATGATGGTTTGCCGAATTTTCCGTCTTTCTGGTCGCTATAATTTTCGAAGAGCCAACTTTTCTGGCTTGTATGATAAACTACTTGATACGGATTGGTCTTTTCTAAATGTGCAGGTTAATGCGAATGATGCTTTGCGAGCTTTCTATACAAAGTTGTATGAGATTTTGGATTTATTTGTTCCGAAAAGATTGTGTCGTAGATCTTCATACCCTATTTGGTACACCACAGAAATTAAGCGCCTATAAAAACTGAAAAAGTATTATAGAAAGAAGTGGAGGAGCAGTAGTAGTGCTTTCTATTCAGCGTAATATGAAAGACTGACGTATTTGACTAGACAGAAAATCTCTGCGTAACTTTTGGAATTATATAAGGTAGAAAATGACGACCTCTCGACTTCCTGGCAAGATGACGTGTGATCAACCCACCTACACTAATCCTGATAAAATAGTTAATGCTTTTGCAGAACAGTTATCTAGAGTATGTACTAGTGTCTCTGCAACATAGTTGATGTCACTGAGGAAGAGGTTTCTCATTTCCTAATGATGTGCCTATGTACAACACGTAGTACCAATGAGTTTTATCTGAGTCACTACAAATCCAATATTTTAGCCAAATCCCTGGTGTAGCAGATGTGTGTACTATAGAACAATAATAGAGTATGAGTGTTTATGCGAGTTATATTTGTTTTAAAGCTAATGCTATTTCTGCTGTTTTCTTGTAATATTGTCTTACAATTGATCTTTATTGGGCAATAAAGTGAATTATTAGTATTATAAAATAGTGATTTTTCATCTGAAAGGACATAAAGTCGATGTACTTACTGTGAATTAATATAGATAAAAATTCAAATGTATAAGAAAAATGTATCCTGGTATGTGTTTGGTATGTATAATGGTGTTTTTAATATTGATAAGACTGCTGTTTTTTAATCTAAAGCGAAACCGTACTTAAATTTAATAGGACAAAAGCAAAGTTCAAGTAGCAGCAACTTTATGCTGCAAGTCGTACTCAAATGTAATGCATAACGTAAATACATTTCTGTTCTATTAGAACGATACGATGTTCAACAGATCGTTACTGAACCTACGCGAATTACATCCACAACACAAACGCTTATTGATCTTGCTATGTGCTCTGGGGATTTTTTTCATGGACGCTCGGTCGATGCATGAAATTTCATCCAGTGTGTTGGTAGAATATTCATTACGGGTAGCAAACTTCAAAAACAACAAGAATTAAAAACAGCGAAGTCTGAAAAAAAAAATAGCAATATGAAATTGCTTGATAAGGATTTTGAAAAGTTGTTAGTTGGACTGTCTTAAAAGACTTGAAGAAAACCCGTGATTAGAACTGATGAAATTAGTTAAATGAACCTAGGTGAACTGTACCGTAAGGAAAACGAACTAAACTAACTTTCGAATCGACTTGATCCAATTAATAAACAAGTTAAGCGTTTGAAGCAACCTCAGCGGTGATTTCAGATTTAATAAGTTATTACTTTCGTGAAGTGGGAATACGTTTTGATTATGTATATAGATATTACAGCTATGTCACTCACAATACTGCTACAAAGCAACTCACTGCCCCAGATAAACAACGAATTACCGTATTTGCCCGAATATAAGGCGAGGTTTTTTTCAAAGAATTAGGCAGAAAATTACCACTCGCCTTATATTCGGGGTCGCCTTATATTCGGAATGTTACCGACAAATCAGAAATGATTCCAGCCTGCTAGTTATGTAAATAGGGGAAGCCCCTAAATGCTTACGGCCGATGTGCAGTTAGGTAGATAAGGCGCGCTTTTGTTATTCGTTAACAAACTCTTGTACGGATTAGACTTGTTGAGAGTGCCGCATCAGTTATGTGTGATAGAGTTGAAAAACGGGGTACGGCGAAAGGTCAAATAGGTAAAAATATCCAAACAAGCTATGATGCCAATTTTAAAATTATGGCTATTCGTGAAGCAGAAAAAAGCAAACAATTGTGCAGCCGCTAAAAAGTATGGTACAACAGAAAACAATATTAGACGTTGGCGACTGCAAAAAGAAAATCTTTTGAATGCTCACTCAACACGAGAATCCTTTCGAGGACCCAAAAAAGGTCGCTTTCCAGAAATTGTTGTTGATTTTGTAAATAAAATGCGTGGACAAGGATTTCCACTAACAAGAGAAACAATTCAATTAAAAGCTCAACAAATGGCTAAAAACAAAAATATCCCTCAAACTACATTTAAGACAGGTTATGGATGGTGCAGAAGAATGATGGTTAGGACAACGATGTACATATGACGTTGTACAACGTTAGCCCAAAAACTTCCTAAAGATTTTGAGGAAAAATTAATTGAATATCAACGTTATATAATAAACTTAAGAAAACAGCACAAATATCCTTTAAACTTGATATGTAATGCGGATCAAACACCAGTATATTTTGATATGGTTTCAAATTATACCATAAATAGAAAAGGAGAAAAATCTGTTCTAATCAAAACAACAGGAAATGAAAAATCGAGGGTAACGGTTATGTTAGCAGTACTTGCTGACGGAACAAAACCATCCTTAAACCTCCTTATGTGGTACTTAAAAGAAAAACCATGCCAAGGAAAAATTTCCAGATGGAATTATAATTAGGATACAAGAGAAAGGATGAATGGATCAAGCACTCCTCATCAATGTTTATATTGGATACTGTTCAGGGTTGCCTTGCACAACAAGTGCGGGAAGAAATTAAGAAGCAAAATACAGATTTAATCATTATTCCTGGTGGTATGGCTTCACAACTGCAGGTTTTAGATGTTGTAGTCAATAAACCCTTTAAAGATCACTTAAAGAAACAGTTTTCAAATTGGCTTCAGTCAAATGATCATCCATTTACTCCCAGTGGAAAAATAAAAAAATAGAAAAACACAAGTTTCAATGTTATGTGAGTGGATCCTACAGGCTTGAAACGAATTTTCATCAGAAAGCATTATTAAGGGATTCAAAAAATGTTGCGTTTCAAATGATTTAGAAGGTGGTGACGATGATGTCCTCTGGGATGATATGCAGCAAGACCAAGCTACTAGGGCTACTAGTGATGAATCGAGTACTGAAAAGAGTGATGTGGAAGACGCATGTGAAATGATTGATGATTAGATATGTGTTATTATTCAGTATATTTGAAAATACTTTAATTACTATTAATAAACTACATATTCTGAAACTTACCTATGTTTTCTTAATAGTATGCCACATAGCATATATTTATAAATGACGTTAAGGTAAGTATAATATATTTGTGCGCGACTTTCATATTTAAATACAATATTTAATAAAATATTAAGTCCATCTCAAAGAAAAAGTCATTTTTATTGATTTAATAAAATATATCAAATTCTGTTAATTAAATAGTAAGTTAATAATCACCATAAACTGATTTGAGCCATCATTAATTATTATGGGATCAATAATAGTCAAATAAGTAATCCATAATTAAACAATTATAAGCCTCGTCTCAGTTACAACTTAATTACCCAATCAATTAGTGTGATTTGAATCTAATTAGAATTAAACAATACTATGGCTTATTAATGTAATTATCTACAGATATTTACTTAATCCATGTCATTATTGTTAAGTAAGGTAGATACTTGTCTAATCTATTACAAGATGACGGAGCAAACGAAGAAAAATACTTTTAAAGGAAGGGTTCACACTTCAAGATCTATTTCCCGGCAGTAAATTCTAATTTTGCCACCCGTTAAAAACTGAGTTCGACGCTGTAAATCTCAATAAAACTTGCACGCGCCGTCGACTTCCTTAACAATAATTGGCTTCGCCTCCGTTCTATTCCGTGGGAAACAACGAACTTTGGCAGCCCGATTTCCGAGTCGAGTCTAGCATCTAATGCAAGAAAATTACCTCCGTCAGGTACACGGAAAGTCCGTAAACGACGTAGTCGCTAAACGCCCTCCGTTGTGAGTGTGCAGTTTCCCTCGTTTTATATGTTTATGTCTTGTATTTTTCTCTCTTGGAAACGCTGTTCAGCGTAGATAACCGGCATCGTTTTCTCGAATACAATGCAATAGACCGGAAACTAACATTCACGTTAACGATTCATCTAATTTAATGTGAGAAAAAGCTACAACATTGAAAATTTTAATTCGAATCAATAAAGATTTTAAAATGTTCTAAAGTTTTAAATAAATCATAATTATAACGCCATGGAGAATCGGTTGGGTAATTTATTAAATACAAAATCCACTTTAATCATTCATACGTGGACAGGTCAAATCAGCCGTTTAAAAATTACCGGCCACATCGCCCTGGGTTCTCGTGATCCCCGAATTTATGACCGGGAACGCACAGTATATCCCTATTGATGTTCGGGTATGCCGCAAAAAATACCGGAAAATCCAACAAGCCAACCTGAGTAATCACACTCCTCGGTTTTACATGGATTTCAAGATAAAAATGTGACCAACGACACTTTTAAACGACTCTAATTCAATTCCTTAAATCAAATTTTGCAATAGACACATTTTTAAATAAACATTATTGGATTTATTTTTTCTCGGAAGATTAAAGCAATTTTTCATTTAATATATATATTTTGCAACTATTCCAATAAATAAATATTAACTATACATTCCTGGCTTATACTCGAATAATAAATTTGTTATTTATAAGATAGTAAAATGGAAAATCCAGGAATACCTTTAGTATTCCATTCTTTATTTTTATTACCTTCAAGAAATATTTAAAATTGTAAACAAAATAAGAGTGAACAATTTTATTTAATTTTTTTTTTAAATTATGATTTAAGTATTTCTGTACACGTAAATAGATAATATAGTGCCAGTCACTTATCGTAATCGTGGTAACACTTCATAACCCTCATTTCTCACAAACAATTTTCATTTTCGTTTATATATTTATTCGTTTTATTTTCGTCTACGTCTCGCTAAAAATAGATAGTTAATAAGTTAAGAGTGTTGCACACTCATCGTACTATCACGTTTGTAGTTATCAAAACAAATTATCCAGTGCTTCGTGTACGTTCGTAGAAAATGCGTGTATTACTACTATGCCTTGTTATCGCAAAATTTGTGAGCTCGTTAAAAATTTTAACGCTTTTACCATACGCGGGGAAAAGTCATTTTGTTTCTTATGAACCTCTTCTAAAAGAATTAGCGAATAAAGGACATGAAGTGCACGTGTACAGTGAGTTTCCTCAAAAGAAGCCGTTACCAAGATATAAAGATTTTGTGTTGGAGAAAGTTCATCAAAATTCGACTGAAATAGTAGATATGAATGATTTACCAGGAGAATTTTTTAAACGATATGCAACTCCGTTGGTATTGGCAGGGTTTGCGGCAGAAGTGTGCCAAAAATTAAATCAAAGAATCGTTAAAGACTTATTAAAATCTAACGAGAAATACGACCTTATTCTTATTGAGTATTTCAACACCGATTGTTTCTTAGGTTTCGCGCATACGTTTAAAATTCCTGTTATCGCGTTAAGTTCTTCGTACCCGATGCCCTGGCATTCGAGCAGATTTGCTAGAATCGAAAATCCTGCTTTCGTTCCTGTACACTTTGGGAACTTTCCTAAATTTATGAGTTTTTGGGAACGATTAGAAAACACAATCATGTTAGGTTATTGTAAAGCAGTGTATTATCTATTATGTGATTTACCAGGAAATCGTGATGCCAAAGCTTTCTTTGGAGACAATCTTCCTGCGTTGGAAAAAATCGCTGAAAACACCAGTCTTATACTCGTTAATAACTACTTTGCTTTAAACGGTGCATTTCCTCAAGTACCTGGTATGATTGAAGTGGGTGGAATGCATTTGGGAACACGACAAAGTTTACCCAAGGTAAGGTTAAATATGGTGTGAATTGTAACAATAATTATTTTTTTCATTTTTATTTGGAAAGTTTTACTTTATCATTTAAGACGATAAATGTTTTAATGTTAATAAAAACAAAGTGATAATAATTATATCCAATGTCATTGACTTGCCATTTATGCCTTAAGTTTGGGATCTGTTTTTAAAAGAGTGTGACCTCCTTGACTTATTCTTACAATAATAATATAACATAACAAAAAAAACTGTATGAGATATCACAAAAATACATTTTATAAAATTACGACGTTTTGTCCCAGCATAATTTCCACACTAATTCAAAAACATATTTGTTGATCAAATCATTTGCATCTAAACGTGCAGTTTAAACAGCGTGAAGTGTATAAAATGTTATTCTATAGATTTATTAATTTTATGACAAACAAATAACCAACGTAATTCAACTCTCAAGAAGTACATTGCACTTGGATACACTCTACTGACCTCCCCCACTCCTTATGCTGACGAGGTGGATGTTTTAAAAAGGAATTGGTCAGTTGTACGTTTAGCTTCGCCGAAAATGTTATTGTTACCGTTATTTCTTATATTTTTAAACTTTGTAAATTCATTAAAAATACTAACACTTTTACCATACGCGGGGAAGAGCCATTTTGTTGCTTATGAAAGTATTTTAAGAGAGTTGGCGAATAAAGGTCACGAAGTGCACGTTTACAGTGAATTCCCGCAAAAAGTACCGTTACCTAGGTATAAAGATTTTGTATTGGAGAAAGTTCATCAAAACTCAACGGAAATAATAAATATGAAAGATTTACCAGGCGAGTTTCGGACACAGCATATAATTCTGCAGCTATTAGCGCAATTTGCACAAAAAGCGTGTCAAAAGTTGGATCAGAAGATCGTTAAAGATTTATTAAAATCCAAGGAGAAATACGACCTTATTCTTATAGAGTATTTCAACACAGATTGCTTTTTAGGTTTTGCGCATATATTTAAAATTCCTTTTATCGCGTTAAGTTCTTCTTATCCGATGCCGTGGTACGCAAGCAGATTTTCTAGAATTGATAATCCCGCTTTCGTCCCAGTCCTTTTTGGCAACTTTGCAAAGCATATGAGTTTTTCGGAACGTTTGCAAAACACAATCATGTTAGGTTATTGTAAAGCAATGTATTATCTTCTTTATGATGTACCAGGAAATCGTAGAGCCAAAGCTTTCTTTGGCGACGATTTACCAACATTAGAAAAAATCGCAGAAAATACCAGCCTTATGCTCGTCAATAACCATGTTACTTTAAACGGTGCATTTCCGCAAGTTCCTGGTATGATTGAAGTGGGTGGAGTCCATTTAAGACATCCAGAAAATTTACCTAAGGTAAGGATTTTATTTAAAATCATTATATAAAACTAAAAGTACTTCTATGTTTTGAAAGAATGTTTTGAATAACTTTGATAGAAATGTTACACACGAATTTAAAATTCTTGATTTCTCTGTTAATTCAGGTATTTCCAAGCAAGACGAAAATCCATTAGGATTATTGGAAAGCCTTTTTATTCCACGGTGTTTGCTAGTCGTTGATAATAATATTTTAATAATTATGATATTATCGAGAAACGTAATTCTTCCGAAGCTTAAGACGAGAAGAATATCATATATTAACTAAGGAATGATAACTCTAATTTCTATAAAATCGTCGTTAGCGTTTTACAAAACCGTCTATTTTATCACATCTAGTCTTAGTCAACATCATCCAAGTTATCTTCTATATCGCGCGAATTATTACTCAACCTTATTTTATTGATTTATATTCGTAGTATTGCTATTAATTCTGACTATTGTTTTTAGCCCCCTTTAATAACGTGTCTAACATCGCTTTTCTCAATATAATCTCTAATATCAATCAACATTCTCTTGCATATCATCTGTGATCTTTGTTGACGTAATTTTTAATGTATTTCCACATTGTCACTCGTATCTTTGAATATTGCCCTTGCCTCTTCTGACAACATTACCGATACTGCCCAACATCGTGTTTAATACATTAATATCCTCTCTAGGATTTATCATAATTGTGCCTGGTATGGTTTAATATCATGTTTAGCTTTCTATAACATTGGCATGATACCTCTTAACATCGTCCTTAATCGTAATATCGAATCTGATATTCCTCATAACAGCACTTTGTCTGACAAAACCCAACGCTTCTGACAACATCGTTTTTAGCCCCTATTATTATTATTATTATTGCTGCCGGGCTGAGGAGAGCGGCCCCTCTCGTTACCGCGACCTATAAGATCTATTGTAACTTTAGCCCTCCAAAGGTTTAGGGCAAATGTAGGTCCTTAATGAACCTTAGTATTGTCCTGAGGTCTTGAACCTTTATGTCGGTAGGTAACAGGGGAGTTTTACCGAAGACGTTGTGCCTTAGACGGCCTCTGGCGACGCAATTGCACAGTGTATGTTCAGCAGTTTCTGACTCGTCGTTGCATAGTCGACAAGTTTGATCCTCAGGTTGTCCAATGTGGGAGAGGTGGTATTTTAGGGGCACATGGCCGGTCAGGTAGCCTGAGAGCGTTCTTAGATCCCCTTTGCTGAGGCATAAAACCTCTTTGGTTTTGTTTTGCGACGGAGTTATCATACTCTTCGCTTGTCTGTGACCTGGAAGTTCTTTCCAGCGTAAGGCTATCTTTGAAGCCTCCCAGTTGTTGATTATTTGTTTTAGGTGGCTTTTTTGTAGTCCACATCCAGGTTGGGGTCCAATGAAGGGCGTGTTTGCTGCCTCTTTGGCCAGCTTGTCGGCTTTCTCATTGCCCTCAATGTTGCTGTGACCTGGAACCCACCATAGGGTAACATCATTGCCCCTAGCGAGTTCTCTCAGGTTGTTGGTACACGCTCTGATCAGTGCGGAGCCACACGTGTAGGCCTGAATTGCCTTTAAGGCGGCCCGACTGTCTGTGAAAATGTTTATGGATGCACCTTTTTGTCCCTTCTGTAGGTTCAAAGCGGTGCAGAAGTTTATAGCAAGAACTTCTGCTTGGAAAATTGTTAAGTCCGAGCTGAGGGGCAATTTGATGTGGCTATTTGGTCCACTGATGCCCATGCCTACTCCAGGTCTTACTGTCTTTGAAGCATCGGTGTACCAGGCTAGGTCTCCTCTTTTTAGTTGAGGCCCTCCTTTCGCCCAATCATCCCTGCTACTAAATATGATATAGCCCCTATTAATATGTTGTCTGATGTCTTCCAACATTGTTCAACATCGTAGCCGATGTTGCCCGTTACCATCCAGTATATGTACCTCAACATTGCAATTAGTTTTCCTTAATGTCAAAGATGAACAAAATCATCTTTGATGTACTCCAATATCATCCTACATTTCTACCGTTGTTCTTAGATTTCGTCAACAGATTATTTGACATCATTCAATATCGTTCCTGGTATTACCTACATCACACGTAGTCGTCCTCAACATGGCCTCTCTCAACATGGTCCATGCATTTCTTAATCGTGTTTAGATACTTAATTTTACTTGTACTAACAAGTAAAGTAATTAGATCTCATCGAGTTTTGTTGTTGATTACCGAGTGTTCCGTTGTATATGTAACAACGTTGGTGATCTTCTATAATACAGTTAAAAAAATCTTCTTCGACGTATGACTTTCAGGTGTTGTGCCACAGGGGGCCATCATAAAATATATAATATCCGTTTAAAGCTTCTTTTATATATTCGATATTAATCCAATTTAAATACCACTTAGAAATAATTATTAAATAAAACAAATAATACCTATTTTTGTATTCAATCACAGTATTAATACTGAGGTAGATGAAATAGTGCCAAACGGTTTACGTAACGGCACGTGGTCCTAGTTTACATGTAACCCCACTCCTCATATTAACGAGAATGAAGATGTCAAAACGAAGTGAACAGTGGTGAATAGTGGTTCGGTCACGCTCGTTGAAAATGCGATTGTTACTGTTATGTTTTGTAATAGTAAAATTTGTAAACTGCTTAAAAATATTAACTCTTTTACCGTATGCGGGGAAAAGTCATTTTGCATCTTACGAACCTCTTCTAAAAGAGTTGGCGAATAGAGGTCATGAAGTGCACGTGTACAGTGAATTTCCTCAAAAGAAACCGTTACCGCGATATAAAGATTTCGAATTGGATAAAGCTCATCAAAACGCGACGGAAATATTAAATATCAATGATTTGCCCGGGAAATTTATAACTAAATATTTAACGCCGATATTATTAACGGAGTTTGCGGAAGAAATTTGTCAAAAGTTAAATCAAAATATCGTTAAAGATTTATTAAAAACGAAAGAAAAGTACGATTTGATTCTTATAGAGTATTTCAACACCGATTGCTTTTTGGGTTTCGCGCATGTATTTAAAATTCCTTATATCGCGTTAAGTTCTTGTTATCCGATGCCGTGGCATGCGGGCAGATTTGCCAGGATCGACAATCCAGCTTACGTTCCTGGCCACTTTGGCAACTTTGCAAAACATATGAGCTTCTCGGAACGATTGGAAAATACGATTGTATTGGGGTATTGTAAACTACTCTACTATCTTTTTTGCGATATACCAGGAAATCGTAAAGCCAAAGCTTTCTTTGGCGACGATCTACCACCTTTAGAAAAAATCGCTGAAAATACTAGTCTTATGCTCGTCAATAACTACTTTGCTTTAAACGGTGCATTTCCTCAAGTACCCAGTATGATTGAAGTGGGAGGAATGAATATAGGAAAACCAAAACGTTTACCTAAGGTAAGTAAGCACGTGGAGGACATAAATAATTCTATGTCATTATATAATATTAATGACATGAGTGGTATCAAAAAACTAGCAATTTTTGTAATTAAAATTTTGTTTTGTTCCCAATGATGTAAATTGAAAATTCAAGTTCATTTGAAAATCAATAACCTTTTTCACAATATGAAGGACTGAGTTCACTAGAGGTCATTTGGTATACTTGTGTACAAAATTAATCGTCTCATGCTATGTTATCTA